TAGTTTTGAACCAAATCGTAGCTTTCTAACAAAATATCGCCTGAAAAGGTCTCAAAATGCACAAAAATTGTATCTAGAAACCAAATTGCCTAGATATGTCTCACATGACTAGTAGTTTTTGGATTTTTCAAATACCTGGCTTTGTATCTAGTCAAAAGGCCTATCGAAAGGTAAAAACCCGAACTCGATCGCTATTAACATTGGTGAGCTATTATGAAAATACTCGTGTCTGTATCTATTATATATCTCTTATAGATTCATGAAGTTACTTACAATCGTGATCGCCCTAGTTACAAACACAGATTTATTTAAAAATTACTCCTCTTACCTAGTATTTTTGGAGTAGATAGAATTTGTGAAGAGCCTTGAATAACGATAGGGGGTAAATATGGTGTGTTTGAGGTTTCCTCAACTTTACACTGTCCGAAAACTATGAAAAAACTCACATATACTGACACTGCTGTTAGAACTGTTTATTGTTGACTAAGTTCGGCCAGCCGTTTACAGGATACCTTACGAAAGGAGAGTCAGATATTGATGAAGTTTTATACACAATTTCGACTAATAAAGATCTCGGTCGAGTTCGAAGTAGAACCTAATTGGACGAGCCATTCCTGAGTTATTACAAAAATACTGATATTTCCCTATGATTTCCATATGCACTTTTTGCGGTACACATAACTCTCGGATACAATCCGAAGTTTCCACATTTATTATAATATAGGTTGGGTTGCAATTTATTATGTGTTGTAAATAAAAATATTTTAATCTGAAATAAAGAGGAATATTATTCATTGAAATATACAAATGAATATATTTTATGCTAAAGATTTATCCAATGAAAATGACAAACTAGAGATGAATTTTTTTACAAAGTTACTATTAAACTTCAAGGTGATATTGAAAAAAGAGTTTATATTTCTGTTTATAAGGTATTGTGATATCCTATTGTTCAAGATCTTGGTTTCATTTTGGTTAACATTGCTCGTGGAGGTTTTTTATGTATGAAGAAAGTTTCAAGTGTACGACCAGTAATAGGAATGAGTCGTACTTTAATTTGTTCAAGTGGTGATCCGGAAAATGCATAATATGTTTTCCACCAATTTGTAAATTCTTGTCGAAAGCTGACTGTGAATGAAGTATCAAATAAATAACGTGGATACATTATTTCTTTGTTCCATATTTTTGGTTATAATACCAATGGTGTTTTAATTGGATCTTCCATCATTGCTTGAAATTTTTTCTCACGAAGTGTTGGTTGATATAATAAATTGTGATGTAAACGAGAGTAAACCTGTTCATTTATTTGTTGTAATATAGATAGTCTATTATTTAAATAAAAGAATCTATTGAATTGTTGAGTAATAAAATGTGGTGGATAACCATTTAATAATAATGATAGATCAATA